CCTCTTTGCAGAACGTCTTGGCGAAGGCCCTCTACGACAATGTGGCCGAGACGCCGGACGAGCTCTCCTTCCGGAAGGGGGACATCATGACGGTGCTGGAGCGCAACACGCAGGGTCTGGACGGTTGGTGGCTGTGTTCCCTCCACGGGCGGCAGGGCATCGTCCCCGGGAACCGGCTCAAGATCCTGGTGGGCATGTACGACAAGAAGCAGCTGCCGGGCCCCGTCCAGGGCCAGCTGCCCCCGCAGCCCCAGCAAGTGGCGGGGCAGAACCCCCTGGCGTACCCACACCAAGCGGGCTACACCCCCCTGTCTCCCGCCTCCCAGTACACCCCTATGCACCCCTCCTACCAACCCCAAGAGGACAATGTCTACCTGGTGCCGCCCCTCAACAAAGCCCCCGGCCCCCTCCATCCGGGGCCGGGCCAGTTCCAGACTCCTCCGGGCAAGCAGGCACCCCTCTACCCAAAGCCGAGCCCCTCGCAAGGCCAGGAGGTGTACCAAGTGCCCACCGGCCCCGCCAGTCCTCCTCAAGACATTTACCAGGTGCCGCCAGCTCCCGCCGGCTTAGGACAGGACATCTACCAAGTCCCTCCGTCTCTGGACGGGCGAGGCTGGGAGACGCCGAAGACTCAAGGAAAGGTAAGGCTCAACCGCAGCCCCAGATGGCAGCTTCTCCTCCCTTTTCCTCTTCAGCTTTCCTAGCCTTGTGCAAGAAGGTTTGGGGATATTGGGACACCTCCCCGGTCATGGACGGCGAAAGCGCTGTAGGTTTTCTTTTTTTAAAAAGCCCTTGGTGGGCTGCTGGATGTCGGAGTCGGAATAAGTGATGTCCCTCCGCCCACCCTCCTGCCCTCTGCTGAGAACCGGTTCCGGTTTCCATGGGCTTGCTGTGAAGGTCTCTCCACCGAGAGGGTGCCTTTTGGGGGCTGAAGGATCCCTCGGGTTAGGGGCAGCCAAGAAGGAGTTGGCTTCTGGGCCAGCACTTGGGGATCCTGCTTGAGGGAGCAGGGCTTGCCGCTCGGACTCTTGTTTGCCAAAGGACAGTGAGTACCCTGGCAGCTGTGAGGTCTTCCTACCTGGCAGGTCCTCCTCCTCCTCCTCGGTGTGGCCCACCTTGAGCCTTTCAAAGAGCCCCTTGGGGGGCTTGCCCCCACTGGGGTTAGGGTGAGGCTGGGGGAAAGCTAGTACTTTTCTGGTCCTCTTCCCCCACCCCCACCCCTGGATGGGGGCAGATCCCTAGCCCCGACCCTCTCTCGGCTGGCTTTGCAGCCAGGGGACAGAGCACAGCTGGGGGGAGTTTTTATTCTGGGGAGCCGAAGGCAGCCTCTCCCCAGCCCGGCTGGCCGTGCGGTCGGATGATCTGGGTGCGCTCTGTGGTCCAAACCATCGAGCTGTTCTCAGCTCAGTGGCAAGAGCTTTGATTCTGGGTCCGGGCATCGCCCTTTATTCTCTGTGTGTGTGGGGGGGTGAGGGTTAGGGTTAGGGAAGTCTAGGAGGAGCTGTTTCCTGTCCCTCCATGGGAAAGGAAATGACCTCCGCTGGGTTCCAGGCAGCCTCCTGTCTCTGAGACGCCCCTCTTGAATTCTTGAGCAGCTACGACCCCCACCCCCGGCTGGGCTGGGCAGTCATTTATTAGGGAACGGAGAAGGGCCATTCTTTGGGAGAAAAATCTTGTCGCTTTTCTCTACCCGCCGGGAGTGCGAGATCTGGAGTGGGAATGGGGTGTTTGTGGACTGCACGTGTGTCTTGGTGCATTTGTGTGCCTGACCTTGAAAGAGGTTTGGACAGAGGAGAGGGCCGGCCGCCAGCCAATGATTCAGAAAAGTGCAGGTCTCAGCCTGGCCGCGGATTCCTGCCCTTCCCTCTCTCTCTCTCTCTCTCTCTTTCTCTTTTGTTCTCTCTCTCTCTCTCTCGCTGTTGACCTTGTCGCTGGTCCTGCTCAGAGAGCTGGGCCAAAGGGCATCATCGCCTGTGAGTGTGGGACAGGATTGGGAGGGGGCGGGGAAGCCACAGACTGGAGTGCCACAGAAGTGTCATTGTCAATAAAGGCATTTGCCCTGGCCACAGCCTGGCAAGTTACTTTTAAAAAATACATCAGTTACAGTTCCAAGTTCCCTTTGTCCATGTTGGTATTTTGATAGCCACACTTTTCAAATAATTGGGTTTTTTTAAATTGCTTTTTCAGGGTTAGCTCCCTTTTCAGAAATAGACAAATAGATGCTTTTAATCTCCCTCCCAATTTGAACATACCTGATCTCATATGCTCTGGGAAGCTAAGCAGAATTGCTCCCGGTAAGTCTTTGGATGGGAGACCACCAGGAAAGGGATACCAAGGATCTCCATGGAGGGCCAGGAGATGCTTTTGCTTGCAATCTGTTGCAGAGTTTTGGATTTCTGGTTAAATTCCTTCGGCTGTGCTTCAGAAGTGCAAGGAGTTCCAGAACAGAATAGTTTGAAGTTCCCCACAGTATCCTTCCCCTTCTCTAATTAACTGACAGTTATAGTCTAAACAACTCACTCTGAGATATTAGTAAGAGAAAGAATAAAAGGTTTCATTACTTACAATTGAAGAGATCAAACAGCAAACTGACAAACATGACTGTGACTGGATGTGAGCTTTCGTGGACAAGTCCACTTCATCAGACATAAGAGATTTGTACGTCTGATGAAGTGGACTTGCCTACGAAAGCTCACATTTTTAAAAAATACGAAAGTTAGTCTCTAAGTGCCACCACGCTGTCTTTTTTTACTTTTGTTTTCACCTATAACGCTTGCACAGACTAACATGGCTGCGCCTTCTACAACCACAAAATAGTCTAGTTTCATGCCGTTCTACAACCACAAAATAGTCTAGTTTCATCTGAGTTCTTGGGGAAGGGAATGAGTTATGAGTAGTGTGTGTTGCTTGTAACGGGTTACGTCCCAGCGGTGTCCACGGCAGGCTCAGCCGAGGGCCCTCTTGGTGCCCCTTCTGTCCCCGGAGAAGGGGCTTGTGCGCCATTCCCCTCGAGGCACGAGAGACTGGAGGAGATGCGGTCGTCTCCGTGTGCTGCTCCACCGCCAGCTCCTGCCTTGGCACGCCGCCCGCAAACAGTGGGAGTTTTGCCGTACAATAGCGCTTAACACGGAAGATAACACAGGCGACTTTATGCTGTCCTTACAGCTATTCATTCACTGCACAAATCATGGGGACCCCCGTCCTCTGTGGTCCCATTTAGTGGGTGTCCTCCTGTGACCCTCCTGTAGCTTGGCAGTGTGATTATTTACAATTCCACGTACTTGGGGCCGAGTAAATAAATAATCTACTAACTGTGAGACGGTCACTTCCAAGCGTTGGCTGAACCACCTGGCATTGAAAACTGCCCAAATTTCTCAAATTTTAAGATTAGGATACCGTAGAATGAGATGGAGTTGGAAAGGACTCCGAGGGTCATTTAGTCCACACATGCCAAATCTTAGAATCATGAGCTCAAGCATCCTTTTCAGATGATGATGGCTATCACAGCATTTCTTGAGAATCTCTTCTCCCCCCCCCCCAAAAGAATGAGCATGCTCCCAACTTCAGTCTTTCCTCCTTGGGCTTAGTTTTCAGATTCTTTTCCACCTTGGATGCCCTCCTCTGGATCACTTCTCTCGTTCTTGATTTTTTTCCCCTGATTTTTCCTCTCATTCTTATTTTTTTTTCAGATTCTTTTCCGCCTTGGATGCCCTCCTCTGGGTCACTCCTCTCGTTCTTGATTTTTTTCCCCCCTGATTTTTCCTCTCATTCTTATTTTTCTTGGTTTCTGGGAAAGTGGGTGAGTTCGCTCCTCGCTTGAACATACGGCAGTTGTTGGTTTTTCCGTGACATGGAATATAGAACTGCAAGAATCTCATCGATGGTGGTGGGTTTATAGGTTTAGGGCACCAAAAGAAATTTGGAAGGGTGGCGCGTCACCATCTAAGGGTCTCCTTCCTGTAGAGAAAGAAGTGGTTCTGGTGTGTTGTGTTCTTAACAGTGTTATATATAATTCATTGGCATCGAGAGGACACTGAATCCACATCCAGAAACTTTTGATAAAACACAGCACTGAGACTCTGCGTTAGATCTGGAGGTAGCTGCTGTACATAGACCCGTTGCAGTCTATATACCACTATCTCAGGTCAGTGCCATAGAGAGGCAGTGGGGTAGAATGGGTAGAGGGTAGGGGGTGGGATGTAGGTAACGTTGCAGAGTTTTGAATGTTAGTTTAAAAACAGCTAGCTGTGCAAACAGAAGTGCAGGGACTTTCAGAGCAGAATTAGCTTCAAGTTCCCCCAGAGGAGACCACCCCTGATTATCTCATCCACTGGCACTTACAGTCTCAGGACCTCACTCTGAGACATGGGTAAGAGAAAGAATAAAAAGGTTTCCATGGATTCACAGTTGAATAGACCAAAAACAGCCTACGGCACAGCAAAGCTGACTGCTTTGCAGCAACAGGCCTTAACAGACTCACACCCTGCAATCCAGCAGCCTCCTGTAGACGACACTCACCTAACCGCACACAGGCTGCCAGCAAACAAGACTAGATACGGATTTTGTTTCTCCGTCAAGGGGAGTGTGTCGAAATGCCCTGTTGGATCCTGACCATCTGCAGCGAAGACTTTTGGGGCTCAGGCTGGGGAAGACTAACTCTTAAGGAGAGGAGGCGATGCCAGCAAGCCAAGGCTAGGGGAGAGCCCAGACCTGTGACCTCCCCCTGGAGTTGTTTCAGTGTTGGCATCAAGCAATAGCAGTGTTGGCATCAAGGGCAAAGGGGGGCACCCCTTACCGAGAACCAGGAGGGCCAGGACTCTCCCGGCCCCAGCCTCTGTGTCAGCCTGGTGGGGGAAGGAAGGCGAGAGGAGGAGAAGGGAAGGGAAGGGAGCCAGGAGCAAGAAGCAGCTGGCTGCCCCTTCGGCTCCCCCTACAATGGGCTGGTGTGCCTTCTGCCCTGCCTGGATGCCCGCCCGAGCCACCAGCCACTGCTGCGGGCATCAAGGCCGGAGGAGGAGCAAGAGAGCCTCCCCAGACTGCCTGTCCCTGTTATTCTAGCAAGTCTCCGAGAGAGCCGGTTTGTTTAGAAAAAAGCCGGCTTTTGTGGCTTTTTCCAGAACCTCCCTGGATAATTTCTTTTGGGTTAATTAACAGGTGTGAAGGCAGACCCTGCCTGAGCTCTAGCGTTGAGGTTCCTTTCTGCTCCATCTCTGCACGGCTTGCTCCGTGGAGATCTTTTTTTTCCTTTCTTTCTTTGCAAGCCAGCAACAGTGGGCGCCTTGCCGCAGGAGGAGGAGGAGAAGGAGCATTCCTTAGGCTTCGTCTCCAAACCCCTCATTTGCTAGGAGCCAAAAATAGAACATGATGTCATCCTTCGCCTCCCCGGGAGGAGAGGCTCAGCTCCTGCTTCGAAAGGTGCCCTGAGATTTCCTCTCTGCCAGGAGCGCTCCGTGGGCGGGCAGTGCCCTCTGCCGGACAGAGGGGCAAACCTCACCCCGTGCCAAATGGGCAGAATATCTGAGAGCCTCTTTTTCAGAGGGAAGGAGGCGTCTCTCTCTCTCTCCAGGCGGGCCTGGGTCGGACGTGCTTCTAACTTACACTCCATTTCGGTTGGTGTTTTAATATGAAAACTGGCTTCCTATGCCCAACGCCTCCAGCCTGCTTTGCCCGCTTGGTTTCACCGGCCTCTTCTTGTCCGTCCGCGCAGGTGGTGGTCCCCACGCGTGTGGGCCAGGTGTACGTCTACGACTCTCCCAAAGGGGAGCAGGATGAGTACGACGTCCCCCGTCATCTCCAAGACATCTACGACGTGCCTCCGACACGGGGCCTCCTGGGGAACCAGTCCAGTCAGGAGGTGAGTGCCCCCCCCAGCCTCGGGAGATGGAGTCCGCCTGCTTGGCCTCAGGGTGCCCCCCTCCCTCCCTTGGCGGCTGCCCCCTTGCGTCTTCCTCAACCCGCCGCGTCTTCCTCTTCCTTCCGCCAGGTCTACGACACCCCCACCCTGGCGGCCAAGGGCCCCACCGGCAGAGATCTGGCTCATGCCCAGGAGATTTACGACGTCCCCCCCAGTGTGGAAAAAGGCCTGCAAGTGGTGAGTGGAAGCCGCAGGGTGTCTGCGCTTGGGGGGCGGGGGGTACTGGATGGGACACCAGGTGCCGTGCCAGGGACCCGGGGATGCTCTGCAGCAAAGCCGCCCAGAGTGTGCCATGATCGGAGCAGGGCACGCTGGGTGAAGCTGCCAAGAGAGACCGCGGATTGTGAATGCGGGGTAAGACCCTGCACGCCATTACGGCTCCATTTGATCTCAGGTCCTGGAGGAGGATGTGCAGGATCTGAGTTATGGAAATCAGGTTTTTCTGGCTCTTACGGCTGTGAACACAAATGGGCACGCACCGGCCGCAAACTGTTTAGGCAACACCACAGCCAGCCTGCGAGGCCCCTGGCAAGATTAAACCCCATTGAAGGATGATGAAAACATGTGTAAACGTAAAAATGCTATATCGACCCCCCTCGACCTCTCATAAAGTGTCCTTTGGAGGGCAGAGGCCTGCCTGAAAAGCTGTGGATGTGCCTGCTGGAAGAAGGTGGGGGGCAGACCAGCCTCCCAAGGAAAAGGGTTCCGTCATCTTGGAGCCGCTGCCGAAAACGTCCTTCTCTTGGGTCTACCCCGGAGGAGCCGGTGAAGGTGGCGGGACTCCCCTGCGCCTCTTGGCAGTCACGGGGGCTCCTGGGCAAAGGCTGGCGTTATAACCTGGCTTTCATCTCTCTTTCTCTCTGCAGGTGTATGACATCCCTCCCTCGGTGACCAAGGACGTCCCAGACGGTCCGATGCGAGAGGAGACCTACGACGTGCCTCCCGCCTCCTGCAAGGCCAAGCCTTTCGACCCCTCGCGGCATCCCCTCATCCTTGCTCCGCCTGCGGCGCCAACGCCTGAGCCTTACTTGCCAGAAGACGTCTACGACGTGCCTCCGGCCGCCACCAAAGGCCTGCCCGAGGCCCGGGAGATCTACGACGTGCCTCCTGGCCTGAGGAAGCTGGCTGGCCAGGACGTCTACGACGTGCCGCGAGAGCTCCCGGCGGGCGGCAAAGAGGGCGACGGCGACTACATCTACGACGTGCCCCCTCAGGCCGACCGGGAGGGCAGGGCTGGCGACGGCAAGCGCCTCTCGGCGTCCAGCACGGGCAGCACCCGCAGCAACCTCTCCAGCTCCTCTCTGGACACGGTGCCCGTCCGGGACGCCCCCGACAAGGAGCCGCGCCTGGACCAAGAGGCGGCCATGGAGACGCTGGCCCGGCTCCAGAGCCACGTCAACTCGGCCGTCTCCCACCTCATGTCCTTCATCAGCGGCAGCTGGCGCAGCCCTGAGCAGATGGAGGTGCAGGCGGCCCAGATCCGGGGGGCCACCGAGAGCGTCCAAGGGGCGCTGAAGGAGCTGCTGGAGTTTGCCCGCGGGGCGGTGACCAGCGCCGCCCACGCCTCCGACCGCTCCCTCTACGCCAAGCTGAGCAAGCAGGTGCAGAAGATGGAGGAGGTCTACCAGGCGCTGCTGCGGCACAGCCAGGCTCTGGACGCCTGCGGCTGGGCCCCGGGGGCGCTTGCCCCCAGCCAGCCGGGCGCCCCCGACGACCTGGAGCACTTGGTCATGTACTCGCGGGGGGTGCCGGACGACACCAAGCAGCTGGCCTCCTTCCTGCACGGCAACGCCTCGCTGCTCTTCAGACGGACAAAGGCTCCCCCGGCCTCCCTGGGGGAGGGCGCCCCGACCCACAGCACGCCGGCAGACAAGGCCAGCAGCATCCAGTCCCGGCCGCTGCCCTCGCCGCCCAAGTTCCTGGCTCAGGACTCGCCCGAAGGGCAATATGAGAACAGCGAGAGCGGCTGGATGGAAGATTACGATTACGTGCATCTGCAGGTGGGGCTGGGGGGGAGCGGAAGAGACGGGGGGGTGATAGAAGGGCACGACCCTCTTCCAGAGGCACAGCCCATGGGAGGGATATTTGGGGGGGGGGATAGATAGTTCTTCCTCCTCTCGCTCTTTCTCTCTCTCTCCCCTTTTCTCTCTCTTGTGTTCCCATCACGAGGTCACCTTATACGATGGCAAGACGTGCCCCACTTGCTGGGATTTGGCCACCAGAAGGAAAGAGGGAGGGATTTACTTTATTTTAGAAGATTCTTTTAATAGCACTCTTCCGTGGTGCTTCCAGAATATGGTGTACATAAACAACAGGAATGCAAATATTGAGCCAAAAATATAGCAAACCACATCACGTTAAAATAGCAATTGCGTTTAAAGGACTGTAAAATTTGAGAAGGTCACCAAGAAGATGCTGCTGTTGACCCCAGATAAATTATTCTGGGGGAGGTGCTCCACATTGGGGTTCCACAGCTGAGAAGGACCTCTCTGTGGTGGCCATCTGTAGGGATGAGATTTTTTTTTCCATCTTCGGGGCGACGGATCCCCTAATTCTCCATTCCAGGAGTCCTGCCCGTGGTGCAGCTACTTTATGCCTGCATCAGTGTGGCTCGCCTGGTGGGAAAGGCCTACGTGGGACGGCCTTGGGGCTGAGCTAGGCCTAGCTCCACCTGAACTTCCTTCCCAGAAAGAAAAGTCCCAGCTTGCACTGGGGAAAGGACAGGAAGCTTGGGTGAAACTAGTCCCAAAGTCTAGGCAGAGGCAGCCTGTGGCCCAACAGCTGCAAAAAAAAAAAAGGATCAGGTAGCAGGGAACGGATATAACCAGAGGGGTGCAGATTTGCGTGCGTGGACTACGTAGCTGCCTGGAGAATTCTGGGAGTTGTAGTCCAGGGACATACGCTTGCATAGACAGTCCTGAGCTAGGCAGATAAACAGACTAGCTGGGAATCAGCTTCCTGTCGTCCATCCTCTTGTGTAGAACTGTGAGCGAGCAGTAGTTGTGAAAGTCTGAATCCATAGTTCCCTGGCTGCTCCTTGGGTCTGATCTCACCGAAGATGGGTGTCTCCTGCCTCTTCAGCCTGGGTCCATCAGCCATTTCTCCAAAACCCTTTGCCAGGAAGTTGTTTTTGAAACTTGCCCACGGGGGGTGGCCCCTGGAGTCTTAGGTCACGACACCAGCTGTGTGGAACAGGATCCTCCTCCTGCCCAGCTTGGTGCACTTGAGCTTAGAGGCCCTTGGAATTGGGCGTAAGTTCTGCACAAGATGGGGGGGGAGGAGTTCCTTTTTCGGATTGCCAGGATTCTCCAGCAAGCCAGATTCTGGGTAGTGAGGTCCAAACATGTGGTCTTGCCAGCGTCGGCCTCTGCAGACAGAGGCACGCTTTCGTGTGCCTTGGGGTCTCCCCCGGGACGCAACGCCAACTCACCTTCTTCCGTCCTTCCTCAACTAGGGAAAGGAAGAATTTGAGAAGACCCAGAAGGAGCTCCTAGAAAGGGGCAGCATCATTGGCAAAGTGCAGCTGGAGCAACAGCAGGTCAGTAGAAGGGATTTTTCCACGTCCTGTCCCACCGATCAGACTTGGCGTCCCCAGTAGCTCTTTTCCCTGAGGAAACGAACTCACTGCCTAGTATCCTGTTTCCTCACGACTCTGCAGCATAAAACTGCTGGATGACTCAGTGGTTTAGGTGCCTGGCTGGGAAGTAGGAAGTTTGATTCCCCGCCACTGTAACCTCCTGGGAGAAGAGCCAGCCTGGGTGGCCTTGGGCCAGCGGCATCGTCCCAGGGCGCCCCCTAGAGGAAGGGGAGGGTCAGCCATTTCTTGAATCCTCTCCCCCCCCCCCCCGGGAAACGATGAGAAGGGTCACCATAAGTCAGAATGGACTTGATGGCACCTGAGGAGGCGGATGATTCTGGCCAGGGAGAAAGAGGTAAAGATGATTCATGGGCTTGGGAGTGGCACGTTCATGTCCTTCCAGAAACGAATTCCACGGGGTGAGTTCATGCCTGAGGGATGTGTATGTTTGTGTCTGTGGACTACGAGGCCCAAAATCCACCAAGTATCATGGGGAATTCATCGAGTCGTTGTCCAGAGACACAATTACGAACGCGTCTGGGTTCTCTCTACCCATCGTGCAGCCAATTTTGGCACTCTCGGAACTTCGGCGCCCTGGTGGCTGCTCCGGTCTCCTTCCCCCTTCGACTCACGTCCCGCCTCTTCTGCCCACAGCTGAAGCAGTTTGAGCGGCTGGAGCAGGAGGTCACGCGGCCGATCGACAACGACCTGTCCAGCTGGACGCCCCCGCAGCACTACGCCCACGTCCGGGGGGGCGGCGCCTCGCTCTGCGCCTCGGACCGGCAGCTCCTGCTCTTCTACCTGGAGCAGTGCGAAGCCAACCTCACCACGCTCACCAACGCCGTGGACGCCTTCTTCACCGCCGTCAGCACGAACCAGCCGCCCAAGATCTTCGTGGCCCACAGCAAGTTCGTCATCTTGAGCGCCCACAAGCTGGTCTTCATCGGGGACACTCTCTCTCGCCAGGCCAAGGCGCAGGAGGTGCGCCACAAGGTCACGCACTACAGCAACCTCCTTTGCGACATGCTGAAGGAGATCGTGGCGACCACCAAGACGGCGGCCCTCCAGTATCCGTCTCCCGCGGCAGCCCAAGACATGGTGGACCGGGTCCACGAGCTCACAAACAGCACGCAGCAGTTTTGGATGGTGCTGGGCCAGCTGGCAGCCATGTGAACGCCAGCCTCGGTCCACCGGGGATGAAATAAGCCTGTAAATGGAATGTAAATACTTCCCTGGACTCTGGCA